AGAGAATGAGTGCGTAGTTAAAAGGAAAGAACAAGGGGGGGGATACAAAAGGCAATTTGAAGATCTTTGATAATTAATTTGTTAATTAATGGAAAGAGAGTAAATAAGAGAAACTGAAAAGAAAAAAAAAGGACTAAAGGAAGTGAATGAAATGAAATGAACGAGAAACAAACAAACAAACAAGAAATCTAGAACTTTGATAATGGTTGAAAAATTGACAGACAGATAGATAGAAAGATAGATAGAGAAATATGTAGACAGACAGACAGATAGATAAAAAAGAGATAGATAAGCAGAACTAGATAGGCACAGATAGATATAGATAGATAGATAGATAGAGATAGATTTAGATAGATAGATAGAGATAGATTTAGATAGATAGATAGAGATAGATTTAGATAGATAGATAGAGATAGGTAGATAGGATAGATAGAGATAGGTAGATAGGATAGATAGAGATAGGTAGATAGGATAGACATCGATAGATATATAGATAGAGAGATAGAGATACTTCCGTAAAAAGAATATATAGAAAATACAGCAATCAATATATAAAAAAAACTTGGAAAAGTGAAGATTTTAAAATAAAAATCAAGACCGGATATTTAATCAGTAACATTGTTTTGCATGTTGTGATAAGCAGGACTGGCAAAATCACTGATTAACGATGATTTTGATGCTGATGGAATATGCTAATGACTTTTTTTTATACATAAAGGGGTACGGGCTTAATTACTGATGATTCGTAATTTTCTAATTTGTTAAAACGAATTTATTAAGTTTGTTGGTTGTTTTTTTTTATATTGATAGTTGTTTATGAGTTTGTATTACTGTTTAAAAGCTGTTTTCCATTTTAGTGACTTTCATTGACACTATTAATTCTAATACGGTCTCGTTATTCAGTACATACTCTCAAAAGTCAGGACAAAATTTACTCGTGGTGGTGGTGATGATGGTGGTGATGATGATGGTGGGAGTGGTGGTGGTGGTGGGGGTGATGGGGTGGTGGGGGTGGGGGTGGTGGTGAAAGTAATGATGATGCGATGATGATAATGATGGTGATGATGATGATGGCGATGGTTGTGGTGATGATGATAGTGCTGATGGTGATGGTGGTGATGATGGTGGGGGTGGTGGTGAAGGTAATGATGATGCGATGATGATGGTGATGATAGTGCTAAGGAATCACAAACTGCTACACGTTTTTTTCCTCGGATTGAGTGGAAGTTAGGCCAGTCTTGCCATAAAGGAGAATAGAAATGGGAGGAAGAAATAGGGGGAAACAAAGAGAGGAAGTGGGAGGAGGATTTTAAATTATTGGCGTGGGATTTGGGATTTTGGAGAAGCTAAAAAAAAAGAAAGGTTGGAGGAAAAATAGCTTTTGTGTGTGTGTGGGGGGGGGTCTCTCTCTCTCTCTCTCTCTCTCTCTCTCTCTCTCCCTCTCCCTCCCCCTCTCCCTCTCTATCCCTCCCTCCCCCTCTCCCTCCCCCCCCCCCCTCTCTCTCTTCCTCCCCCTCTCCCTCTCTATCCCTCTCCCTCCCCCCCCCCCCTCTCTCTCTCTCTCTCTCTCTCTCTCTCTCTCTCTCTCTCTCTCTCTCTCTCTCTCTCTCTCTCTCTCTCTCCCTCCCTCCCTCCCTCCCCCCCCCCTCTCTCTCTTCCTCCCTCCCTCCCTCCCTCTCTCTCCCTCTTTCTTTGGGGAATTTTAGAAACGTTAAAAAGAAAGGCAGACGATAAATGCACTTGGGAAGAAAAAAAAAAAAGACTATTGCTAACCTTAACTGTGAAGAACGCACGTGATGATAATGATGCATGATTTAAGGCTTTAATTAAAGGCTTTCATTAAAGGGGTATACGAATGATTGAAATTTAAGGGGACCACTGAGATAAAATTAAAGAGAAAAGGAAAATTCTAAATGGGATAAGAGGTGTGATAAAATTAAAGAAAATACAACAAGAGAGAAAGAGAAAGAGAGAGAGAAAAAAATACAGACAAACAGATAAAAAGAAAGAGAGAAAGATTTGAAAGAGTGAAAGAGTGATCTACTGAAAAAGGGAGAATGAGAAGGAGAGAAAGAGAGGGAGAGAAAGAGAGGTACTAGACCCATTCACTCCCTCATTATCTGAGAGGGGAGGAGAAGAGAAGGGAGAGCGGGGGGGAGGGGGGGGTTACGAGCTAATGATGGCGTGATAACAACCGAAACGAGGATCGCTAATGAGGTAGGCCTACATTCGGTGTGTTTTTGCCCCGCGTGTGTTTGTGTGTGTGTGTGTTATGTGTGTATGTTGGTGTCTGTGTGTTTGTGTACGTGTGTGTTATGTGTGTATGTTGGTGTCTGTGTGTTTGTGTGTGTGTGTGTGTGTGCGTGTGTATGTGTGTGTGTGTTATTGTTTGTATGATAATGTTTGCCGAATTATTTGATAAAGTTTGAGATAAAGATAAAGTTTTTAGATTATTTGATAAAGCATTGTTTCTGTGTCTGTGTGTATGTTGGTGTCTGTGTGTTTTTGTGTGTATGTGTGTGTGTGTTATTGTTTGTATGTTATTGTTTGCCGAATTATTAGGTTGATAGGAAAATAGATATAGATTCATGGTGTAGAGAGAGAGAGAAATATGTATTCATATATATATATATATATATATATATATATA